ATCAAAACGGCAATTTTATTTCAGATTTTAAAGCTGTATTGATGAGTATCGAATGTGTTAGAAACAAAGAGGTACACAGACACGGAGAACACACATAACATAATAACAAAAAAGCTGGTATCTCCACCTCTAGCAAAACCACAGATTATTTTTGAAAGAATAGAAAAAGGAAAAAAATGGTTACATCACATTATGGCATTTTTATAAACTGTCTTTTCTCATCATTACCTTATTACAAAATACAAAAACACAACCATCCCAACACACTTTACTCATTCAATACTGACTACACTTTAGCCAATAGGATTTCACTGTAGCTCAACCAATGCATCAGCCCTTTTGGTCAACATGATCATGGTTATTCATTTGAAAACAAAACTGCTAATGGTCTTTTTTTTCTTGAATTTTTTCATAAGGCTGCTTGGTTTTTATTAATTTGTGCTTCTGTCGACAGTATAGGCAATTTGTTTAGAATAAAGGTCTGCTTTCCTTACATTGCAGTAACTTGGAGGGAATGATTATGTAAATATGCCCAAGTATTAACATTAAGTCCTTAAATAAATGTAAACATATACATCTTTTGAGGTCAGAATATTGACCCGCTTCACTTAAAACCATTACTGGAGCATTGTTCTGATATTTTTTGGAGTGGACTCATCATTCAGGTGTTTTGTGGTGAACCTTTGGAGGAAAACAGAAATATTAAATGATTTATGAAACTCATTACACAATCTATAGCATCTTTTTTTAAGAACAGGATGGGAAACTTACTTGAGGGCATTAAGGAGACCTTCAACATTATCTGCTGGCTGATCTTTTAAGACTTTAATGCATCCTTTCATCTAGAGAAAGTGTGTACATCACATTACATGGGGAAAAAGTCATTTTAAACTCAGTCAAAAAAGTTTTGGTTGATTGAGAAAATACGAGAATGTAGCCTTACATCAATTTTTGAGGATTTGTTGAAGGCACCGTTTGGATGCACATGGTCATAGAGGATAATAACCCCCACCATCACCCTCATACAAAACAGAAGTGTCTCATCACTGTTGAATCGACTTGTGTATTCTCTGTTAGCAGAGGAAAAAGATTGAGCATAATGCCACAAAGTTACACTTCAACACAGGCACTCCACAACTTTTGACAAATTCATTTCCATGGTTTTTCCAGTCATCAATAATTAGTCGATAAAAAGCATACTTGACTGTTAAACAATTAGTGTACAAATGTCTCCAGTGAGTCAAAAACATTCTGAAATTTCGGTTAGTTTAGCCCCCATGAGGAAGACCCATGACCCATAGGAAACCGTAATTACGCAAAGACTCACACAAGTGGTTTCTTTCAGCAGACAGACTGATGTTATCAGCCAGTTATTACTGTACACAAGAATGCCCAAATATCAATGTCTAGCCATTGAAATATTTGAGCATTTTATCCGTTAAGGCATATATGAAATTATATGTTAATTAAAGCAGCTATATATATATATATA